TAATTTGAGTTCTCTCTCTTCTTCTCTTCGTTAGCATGGTTAAGGGCCTGTCGATCTTACTTATTTTTTCAAAGAACCAACTTTTAGTTTTTTCAATTTTTTCAATGGTTTTTTTTTGTTTCAATTTCATTGATTTCTGCTCTCATTTTAATTATTTCTTGTCTTCTACTACATTTGCTGTTGTTTTGCTCTTCCTTTTCTAGGTTTTTGAGGTGTAGTGTGAGTTCATTTATTTTTTGGTTTTTTCTTTTTTTGAGGAAAGAACTCCAAGAAATGAATTTCCCTCTTAAAACTGCTTTCATTGTGACCCATAGATTCCGGTATGTTGTGTCTGTATTGTCATCTGTCTCTAAGAATTTTTTTATCTCCTCCTTTATGTCTTCTGTAACCCATTGATCATTCAGTAACATATTGTTCATTTTCCATGTGATGTAGGATTTTTCCTTCCTTCTTTTATCATTGATTTCCAGTTTCATTCCATTATGATCAGATATGGTGCATGGTATTATCTCCACACCTTTATATTTACTAAGAGTTGCCCTATGGCATAATATATGGTCTATCTTTGAGTAGGATCCATGTGCTGCTGAGAAGAACATGTATCCACTTGATGATGGTTGATATATTCTATGTATGTCGGTTAAGTCTAGGTTATTGATTGTGCTATTGAGTTCTATAGTTTCTTTATTCAGCTTTTGTCTAGAGGATCTGTCTAATGGCGAGAGAGGTGTGTTGAAGTCACCCATAATTATTGTGTTGTAGTCTATTTGACTTTTGAACTTGAGGAGAGTTTGTTTTATGAACATTGCAGCTCCATTGTTTGGTGCATACAACTTGATAATTGTTATGTCTTGTTGGTGGATGGTTCCTTTTAACAGTATATAGTGTCCTTCTTTATCCCTTTTGATTAACTTAGGTTTGAAGTTGATTTTATTCGATATGAGTATGGCCACTCCTGCTTGCTTCCGAGGGCCATGTGAGTGGTATGATTTTTCCCAACCTTTTACCTTCAGCCTGTGTATGTCTTTTCCTATCATATGAGTCTCCTGAAGGCAGCATATTGTTGGATTTGTTTTTTTGATCCAGGTTACTAGCCTATGTCTCTTGATTGGTGAGTTTAGTCCATTAACGTTTAAGGTTACAATTGAAATATGATTTGTATTTCCAGTCATGTTTATTTATTTATTTATTTATTTTAGTTTGGCTAGTTTTTACTTTTTGGTTATTTTCCTCCCCCTTTACTGAGATACCTCCTACTGTTAGTTTTGGGCACTATTTTTCAATTCCTCTTCTTGTAGTATTTTGCTCAAAATGCTTTGCAGTGCTGGTTTTCTGGCTGCAAATTCTTTTAGCTTTTGTTTATCATGAAAGATTTTAATTTCATTGTCAAATCTGAAGCTTAATTTTGCTGGATACAGTATTCTTGGTTGGAATCCATTATTTTTCAGCGTTTGAAATACATCGTTCCAGGATCTTCTCGCTTTCAAAGTCTGTGATGAAAAATCAGTCGTTAAATTAATTGGTTTACCCCTGAATGTAATCTGCCTCCTTTCTCTCATAGCTTTTAATATTCTCTCCTTGTTCTGTATGTTGGCTATCTTCATAATTATATGTCTTGGAGTTGGTCTATTACAGTTTTGAATGTTTGGGGTCCTGTAGGCTTCCAGGATTTGGCAATCCATTCCATCGTTCATCTCTGGGAAGTTTTCTAGAATTATTTCATTTAATATGTTGTCCATTCCTTTGGTTTGAATCTCTATGCCTTCTTCTATCCCGATGACTCTCAAATTTGGTTTTTTTATGACATCCCATATCTCTTGAATAGATTGCTCGTGGGATTTAAGCATCTTTTCTGTGTTGACTATATTCTTTTCAAGTTGATAAACTTTGTCTTCATTATCTGATGTTCTGACTTCTACTTGATCTAGTCTATTTGTAATATTCTCGTTTGAGTTTTTAATTTGGTTTATAGTTTCCTGCATTTCTAGGATTACTGTTTGATATTTTTTTTAAGATCTCTATCTCCTGGTAAAGCTCGTTCTTTGCCATTTGAATTTGTTTGTTTAATTCATTTTCAAAATATACTTTTATTGCTTGGACTCGCTGTCTCATGTCTTCTCTAATATTCCTTTCCATCTGAGTTAGGTATGCCTTGAGTTCCTTCCCTATCCATGTTTCTGATGCTTCTAGGTCCTCCTGTAGATTTAAGTTGTCCTGCATTGTTTGTAACCCTTTTTTCCCTTGTTTTTTCATGATGTTCACGTTACTTTCCAGCTCTATTTGATTGCTGTGTTTCTGCTCTCTTCTATAGATTTGTTTTGGTTTTGTATATCTCTGTTGTCTCTCCTTTGTGGTGGTAGACTATGCCTGCTAAAGTGGATTCCGCTGGGAAGGAATTCTGACGGCCGAGCTCCAGTGATGTCACCTCTCTGCTATGGCGGGCCCCAGGCTCCTTGCCGGGGTGTCCGAATGGGGGGGTGGGACTGGACTGTCTCTGGTTGGTTTCAGCTCCCGGTCGCTGGCGGGTGGGCGGACTCCAGCAGCCCAGTCGGGTGGGCAGCCGGTGGGCAATCAGTCGCTGGCGGGCGTGCGGTCTCCAGCCGCCCAGTCGCAGGGACAACGGGCCAGCTGTCGCTGGTGGGCAGGCAGTCTCCAGCCGCCCAGTCGCGCGGGCAGCCAGCAGGCGATCGGTCGCCGGTGGGCAGGCATACCTCCCATTTTCCTAACTTTGTGGCTCTCAGCTCCCAACACCTATGGTCTGGTTTCCATGACATTCTTTCTCATCTTTTATTTGTTTTCTAGCATTTTCACAGCATGCATTATTTCATTAGCTACTTATTTATTATTTTAAAAAAATGTTTTCACCAGAATGTAAGCTCCCTGAGGGCAGGAACATGTCTTCATCACTCCTCAATTTCTGGTGCCCAAGTGAGTGTCAGATGTTGGGAGCAGGGTTTCAGGAAAGATTTGTTAATGGAGTGAATATGATGTCACTGTTAAGACTATTTTAGCTTTGCAGAGTTGCGTCAAAATTCAAGCTAGAAAAAGCCTAGCTGTATGCAGTCTCCTCCATTTCCCAGAAGAGCAAATTAAGTCCAGGGGTGAGTGTCAGCCACATGGAAGAAGACACCTGCACCTGCACCTGTACCTTGATGGCCGGGAAGTAAGGTGACTGTGGTCAGGGCACTGGGGTGGGCAGAGGGTCCCTGCCCTGTGTGTGTGTGTGTGTGTGTGTGTATGGTGGGGTGAGCTGTCTGATCTCTATGGGTCAACTGGATGAATACACATAAAATAAGAATTTTATACTCTCCTGACAAGAGGCCATGAGGTTTGGTTAGCTTCTTAGAACTCCATTTGTCTTGGGCTTCATCTAACTGCTGAAAACTTAGTTTGCTCTCATAATAGTATAAATAAACACACTGGCAACGGGGGACTCAGTTTTATTCAACCCTTAAGCAAAACCTAAAAACAAAACAATCCCCATGCCTAAGTGCTCCTCAAACCTTATAATTACAGGAAGGAAAATATGTCTCTGGAAATTGTATTTGTTCAATAGTGGGCAAAGAAACATTTTGTGCAACAAGGGCCTTAGATAAGGGGAGCCTATCATAGCAGCTCAGCACAATTGGGTCAAGTGTAGCTGGCATGGAGAGGCAATGGGTTTTCTTATCAGATCCATGGAAGCATTATTTATTAATCCAATGAGTCAATGCTAACTAGATGGGCTTTGTATTAGAGGCTGGGCACAACATGCTTCTGGAGCACTTCTATTGCCTTTGGATACTCTGGCCTCAGTGCTTTTCAAATAAAAATTGAGAGTGTGTGTGCACACATGGGTGCATGTTCGGTGGGTAAACTGTTTAATTCAAATGGGTATTTAATAATATTTATAATTTGTGCTGGTTGTGGTGGCATAGGCCTGTAATCCTAGCAGCTTAGGAGGCTGAGGCAGGAGGATCACAAATTCAAAGCCAGGTTCAGCAATGGTGAGGTGCTCAGCAACTCAGTGAGACCCCGTCTCTAAACAAAATACAAAACAGGGCTGGGGAGGTGGCTCAGTGGTTGAATGCCCCTGAGTTCAAACCCCAGTACCCACCTCCCAAATTATAATTTGAAATTTGATACCTATAAATGGTGCCCTGGAAATGTCAGATGAACAACAATTTTTTAATTATTATTTTTTTTATTTATTATTTTATTATTTTTTTAAAATATAAAAATGCCCTTCCATTACTATGTTGTCTGTATCAGCTCCTCCCCTGTTTCTTATCTTCCTCTCCCCTCTAATCCCCCCCTTTTTTTAACAGAGCAAGAGTCTTGTCTCTCAGATGTCAGAACAGTAATCTATTTTAAAAATCTCAGAATTTCAAGTCTTCTGTCATTAAACATGACAGATGGATTTAGGGAAAAGGAAAGCATTGTTTGTAGTGTGACCTAAATGTACACTAGTGCAATGTTTAGACCCAGAAGGTTGAAACTGGATTTGAACATATTTTCAGAGTGCAGTGGCATTTAGTATTTTTTAGAGAGACACAGAAAAAAAGAGACAGGGAGAGAGATGATGCATAAGTTATCAAAAAGGGTGCATTGGGGGTAAGAATTTTGTTTTATTTTAGCCAAAAGAGTAAAATCATCATGGTGGGGTTAAGATGCAGATCTGACCTGGGTTTGGAAGCTTCGTTGGGAAAGGCCTCTAGGCTGGCGTTTGGGACAGCGTGTTCTTTAAAAAGAAAGCTGTCTATTTTTCTTTTCTCCAGGGGAGCTGCAGTTTAGGGCAAGCACAAAGCTGGGAACATAACCAAGGGCAGAAAAAATTCACCCCTATGTTCTATTTGTCAGACTGACCTGCAGGTCACAACCTGAAAGTTTATAGATCGGGGAGGCCTTGTCTCTGCATAAGCATGTTTTCTGGACTTTGGCTGAAGCTAAATTCCTGACTTCTGAAAGAGGGGTGGGTGTGGACTTCCAGCAGGAATAGCCAGTGGGAAGGAAGTAATATTCATTAAGAGTGTCTCATGCAAGCCGTGCAGGCTAAGCATGCTCAGTGTAAATTCTCCTGGAGTCTGTCAAGCTATGTTTGAACTCGTTCCAGGATGCTGGATTTACTTTTTTTTTTTCCACCAGGAAGAATGCTCGATTAGACAGCATTTTGCCTTGCTTTTCTTCTCTCTCTCTCTTTCTTCCTGACTTCTTTCCACCAGAAGATTGGAAACAATATTCTTTTCTGATCAATTCAGTAATACAGTGCCCTTCAGTGTTCAGATGGGCATTTCAGTGGAGAAGAAAAGAAACTTTGCTACCTGGGAACCGAAGACTACTTAGGTCAGTAAATGCTAATAAAGTCCTGAAAAACTTATGGAGCCAGGATTTAACTTTTCTTAATGGTTAAGGTAATCTACAGCAAATTTAATTGCCTTTTCAACTCGTGGGTGTGCACCAATTTTTTTTTCACACAAAAACTATGTTTTTCATATGTTGGAGTGATTTTTAAAACACAGGGAAAATATGTCTTTTTGGCTAATTTGCATTTGAAAGAACCTCTTTTTATATGAGAGCTTTTCTCTCTCTTTACCACAAATTATGTGTTTTTTAAACAAATATTGTGGTGAGCTCTTGTAGCTATAATGGTCTGAATGTAGATGTGCTCTGTGTTATATTAATTCTTGGCTTGCATTGGTTCGGTGAAAGTTATTGCTTTTGTTGCTGCCAAAGATGAAAGGGACTTTGTTTTTTTGTGGCTGTTGTTTTTGGAACTTTTAGTGGGCTTCGAGGCTGCTTCAGGAGCCCCTTGTGAGCAGAGAGTCGCCTCTTTCCCTGTTTAATGTGTATTTTGCATGTGTAGGATTCAGCTTTTTCAGAACCTGTGTAGGAATGGAGGTTTTTTTTTTTTTTTAACTGTAGTTTTGGAGGGAAATGGTATAGAGAAAGATAGAAACAAGGTTTGTGATGAAGAGTTTAAATCAGGATACTCATGGTGAATACAAGCAAAGAATGCAAAACATACTCTGTTGGCTGTACATGCACGGATGTAGTTGAGGTTAATAACTTTAATATTTAATTTTCTTTTAAAGTAGAGCAGATTTACTCCATCAGCTGATAACACACAACATTTATTAAAGAGATGTTAGGCTCCCAGGACAAGCAAGTTTGCAAAGGCGGCCCCTTTAAAAACATCTGAGGACAGAGGTTATGAAACCACATAGCTTCCCGTAGGAACAGTGCATCCTGGGCTGAAGCAGTTTAATTTTATTCAAGAATTTTAAGAGTAAAAGGGGATTTATTTCTTTTCAAAAAAAAAAAAAAAAAAAGCACAGCCAGGCGAGGATTATTGATCAGTCAGGGATTAAATATTTGCTGGAATACAAAGCATCACATTTTATCAATGTGTAAATCAGACTGGCTGGCTATTCAGGGGATGTAAATGAAAACCCCCCAGTTTTACATAAAATCAAATGCAGCAGCACCCCTGCCCCGCACTCGCCTTCTCTGTGGCCCAGAAAGGGGTGAAAGAAGTGGGGCAGGGTGTGAAATAAGACTTAGCGAAGGAGCTGACCTTGCTCTTTTAACTTGTGTCCATCTGTTCTTACTGGGCAGCTGAAGCGGGGAGCAAAGCGGGAAGGGACCTCAGGGGAGCCACGGGAGAAGAGGCCAGACCCAGCCAGGCTGTGACCTGCTCCCCATCCTGTGATTTAGCTGGAAGGAGAGGGGCCAAGGGGATGCATCTCAATCCACTTCCTCCTGCTCCCAGGGCTTTGATGGAGTCCCAAATGCTATTCTGCTGCACCTGCCTCTGTTTTTCATAAATGAAAGTGTCTCCCCACAAGTGGACGCTGGGTTATTTGATGTAGATCAGTCCCTGAAGGGAGGGCCCAGGTAATTCAGTCTTGTTTCATTTGGGTCTTTTCTTCCCTAACATGGGACACAGATCTTGATGAGTTTAACTGAAACAATGAGCCCTTTGTGGGAGGGGAGAGCACAGTTGTCCATGAAGGTGTGTGCGAGTTTGCGTGTTTCTGTGTGTGTATGTCCATGAGTGTGTGTGCCACTCATAGTGTGGGCTCTGAGGGAAGGCATTGGTGTCTGAGGGCATTTGTCTGGGCTCAGGGATCTTTTCAATCACCTTGGCTCTGCACTGATAGGAGGTTCACATTCTGGAGAATTCCAGAGCTAGTTTTCTCTGACTGCCTGTTCCTGTACCCTGCTCCCCCCGGCTCTGTTTCCCCTTCATGACTTGTCTCTCAAAGAACAGCAGTGAAACCTTTTGAGGTACAAAGGCTATGCAAGGGGGCAGAGTATGAACAAAGACAGGCCTATTCATGTTCACATCTGGATAAAGTTTAGATTGTGACAAGGGAAAATGATGGGAGAGAAAAAGTTGTGATGTCACATTTTTTAAAAATGAATGTACTTGCCCTCCTAGAGGGCTTTCTCCCTGTTTCCATATCCTGTGCCCACTGGACTTGTGGGAAGATAGGTTTTATGTCTTTAATTATTATAACAAAGGCCAGTGGTTTGCTCCAAGTGGTGGCCAAGTTCAAACAAACCCTCAGATTCTTCAAGCTCTAGTCCAGGTCTCCACCTACCCAGGAATGGGGATAAGCTAGGGTCAGTTTCTGAGTCCTGGACTCAGTTTCCTCATTCACTTTGAGGTTTTGAGCAAAGGCAGTGGATTTATACAAAACACTTTCTCAGACTGAGCCTGCTGCGGTCTTATATCTTACATTTGAGAGGTACTTGAAACTGTTCAAGGGACTCTCTCCTCTTTCCATTTTTCTTATCTTCAACACCATCCATTAAAGCAGGTTGGGCCAGTGTTGACATCTTCCTCTGACAAATGACGAAACTGAAAGATTGAATGACTTGTTGGATCAGGTCAGGCAGAGGCTAGATAGGAATTCAGGTTGCTCAACTCAAGATATGAAATTCTACACCAACCTGAGACTCTGGGCCACTAAAGTTGAACATCAAAAGAGTCCCACAGTTCATGGAGGTGAAAGGTATGGCTGAACAGGGCTTCAGATTGTGTCAGTCCCTTTATAAAGAAGAAAAAGCAGACTGGAGAAACTGGGTACTCCACTCACAGTTGCACTTGGGGCCTTGGGAGCTGGCCTTGAATTCTGTCTCTGCAGATCCAAAGTGTGTGCACTGATGCTGTGACTAGGCACATGGGCTTCGCTGTGACTGTCTACATCTCTACCTCTGAGGATGCCACAGGGCTGCCCTGAGGATCATCCAAGATGAAGTGTGTGCTTGCAGCTTGATTGGTGAAGGTTCTTATTGTTGGTTGTGTGACATCACACAAAGTAAGCATGTTATTTTTACTGTGAATCCCCATCAGCTTGGGGGCTCAACCCTTAGATCCTCAGGGTGTTTGTGTTGATGAGTTCATAGTATCAGGTGAGTAGCACTTAGGGGATGTTTATTGAAAACAGAAACACTGTTCTAAATAATGCAGGAAGTTGACTAAGATAAGCGTCATAGCCCCCTTGCTCCAGTTCAGGGAGAAGCGAGAGGGAGGTTATCTGGGCAGATGCGTCTGAGATAAACAGTACTGTTGAGGTCAATTTCATTATCTTTGATGACCTTCAAATGCTACTGAGATTGCTTATTGGATGTCAGGAATCTCTATGCAGGGAAGGGTGAGCAGTTGGAGGTTATATTGGGCTCACAGATCTGGTAGGGACTGAAAATCAAGAGAAGGCGCATGTGCAGATGGCCTGTAGAACTTCAAGATTGTGTCTTTCTTAGACCCTTATGACCAGTGTTGACTAGGCTGCCGAGGTCACAGGTGTGTCAGCTCTGAAGCTCCTGGGTTTACCCGTGGAGTAACATTAGAAAGATCCCTTAGAGAGAGAAAGGTCAAGGGCCTGCTTCAGAGCAAATCAGTGATTTGTAGTTGTGTACTTACAGCGTACTGAGAACTATAAGAACATAGTCATGAGGCTGCAAAAACAAATGAAGGAAAGGGACACTTAGCTGGGAATATGTACTTTTAGCCAGGTGCGGTGGTGCACACGACCGTAATTCCAGGGGCGTGGGAGGCTGAGGCAGGAGGATTGTGCATTCAAAGCCAGCCTCAGCAACTTAGGCCCTAAGTAACATTGAGACCCTGTCTTGAAATAAATAAATATAAAAAGGGCTAGGGATATGGCTCAGTGGTTAGGCAATCCTGGGTTCAATCCCTGGCCCCAAACCAAACCAATCAACCAACCAACCAAACAAACAAACAAACAAACAAAAAACCCACATTGTGTGTCTAGATGAATAAATGGTATTCATGAGTGTGTGGAACACATAAATGAGGGCGGACAGAACAAGTCTGCTTACGCAGAAGCGGGAGGCAGATTTCAGGGACAGCAGCTGGTTATTAAAGATTTTAAGTGTCTACTTAAAAATTCTTAAGTTACCTCTTAGTTCAGAGTCCTCTTTCAGATGCTTCTCCATGGTCTTCATGCCCTTGTCCATGCTGGGAAAGGAAGGCCATGCCAGGGACAGGGAGGAGGAGATGCATCTTGGTTTACTGAACATCTACTACATACCAGGTATTAGCTCTATGATATTGCTTACTTTAGGAAAACCACTCCACTTGAATAGCAAGCCCAAGTTGGAACCTTTGAGCACTGTGGTGGGGATGGGGGCGAGGAATGTCAAATGGAGCAGCTGCTCTGAAAAACAATACGGTGGTTCCTCAAAAATAAAAAATAAAATACAATCTAGATATTTCACGTCTAGCTTATGTAAATATGGCTTTTTACTTTTCATTCTTTTCTGTTTTTATTTTGCATAAAGGTCCTTAAAAGTTTTGCACTTTCAGAATACAGAACCTTGGTAACTGTTAGGTAGTATCATGTAGTGAAAGTTGGATTTAGGGTAAAATCACTGGAATGGTAGAATGGACTAACATAATGATTTTGAATACATTATTTTGCTTCACTGTGCCTCAGTTTCCATATTTGAGGTTGTCAATCACAATTTACTCAGGTGGGATGATCAGATCTGCTATTCAACATTTTACCTGTGGTCAACAGTACCATTTTGTACAGTTAAAAATTTAAAAAATAAAAATATTAAAGGAGAAGATCCCGTGTCTCACCACAAGAAAATAAAGTTAATGAAATAATCAAATATATATATATATATATATTTTTTTTTTTTTTGATGCTGGGTATTGAACCCAGGGCCTTGTGCATGCAAGGCAAGCAATCTATGAACTGAGCTATATCCACAGCCCTCAAATATAGCTATTTTTGATAATTAATCCTGTTCTATAAATGTGAATTTTCACTTTTATTCTTCTGATTATCTTGGTGTTTTCTGGTAGG